TGGCTCATGACCAGATATTAATTATTACTGTTTGACAGTTAGGGTCTTATTTTTGTGGGGCGCCCTCTCTGATGAGAGGACGGGTTTCTCTTTTGCATATGCTGCTGGCCCTTGCCAGCGCAGTCCTTCTCGGGTCCGAGTTCCTTGGGACTCGCGACCATATTTTAGTGTCTCAGATTTGAGACTTCCTTTTTCGTCGTCTCCTATGACGCGCAGGGTCACGGTGGAGGTATTCTACACCGCCTCCACACGGGGGTATACTCGGTCGCGTCTTATGTGTCCTTTTATAACCCATCGGTACAGACCCCACGGAAAACACAGCCTATATTGTTGACAACGCGTGTTTACCGCGCCATTGTCTTGCAATCCAAGCCCTACTGTCGGGTGTGTTGGCTTCCGGGGAAATGTGTTTACCAAGACGTTGCCTAGCAAAGGGTATACACGTCACAGTATGTTTGAATTTCCCACCTATATATGAATACCGGAAGCATGTTAAGAACAGACTCTAGTACGTTCTACTAATGACGTAACGGCCCATATCACTAACTGACAAAGATGTACGTTCGTTCCCACAGGAGGCGGAGTACAGCAGTAACACTTCAAGTCAATTTGTTTAATAGAATGTTCGTCAACAGCAGACAGACAAAAACAAGCAAGCCCTATTAAATGTGTTGGCGTCAGGTTGAGGAAGTGTCCGACTTCCCCTTCTGGGTCTACTGATACATATTAAGATTAAGTAGCTCATCAGGAGGCGGCAGTATTTCCACAAATGTCTATTTTTATATTACACTACTAACTTCTAAATGCGTTGGAAGGGAATCAGAGGATGTCTGGCGAGTTCGAAATGACAAGCTACTAAACTGCGCCTTGTCTGCCTCTATGTCCACGTGCCACAACTATAGAGAACCACTTACTAACGAATATTCATGAAATTTCGTATTGGGAAGTTTTAATAAAATCTCTCAACAGTTAACTTTTGTTAAAATTCGACGACGACAACAACAACAACAACAACAAAGGACAGTACACGGATTTCTACGTGGATTTCCAGCGCTAACTTGAGTTAACTCACTAAACGTTTACCGAAGCGAAAAATGTTTGGGGAAGATGTCGGAGCGAAAAAATTAAATACATAGTTTACACCGAATATAAAATTTAAATTCTAAAAGGTTCTGACGATGGTATATGACACTCAGGATTACTGGGATATTGGGCTCTGTCCATCGTCTGGTATTCTAAAGCACACAAGAGAACACAAAATTTCGGATGCGTTTCTTCCTCAGGCGAAGGGGTGGAAGACGTCTACTTTGTTGGGTAACTCCAATCACTGGACCGGTTTCCGAAAAGTTGTGTTGTTCAGTGTTCTTCAGAATACCACACGATGGGCACAATCCAAAACAAACCAGCAATCCTCAAGTAAAAATTATCGGCAAGTCTCGCGATAAAAAGGTAAAGCTATCCCTGTAACAGGCTTTGGAGACCCATAGAGTTGTGAGACGTCGAGGCTCCCACATTTTCTAGACAATCTGCGTATAGATGGCGGTAAGGTCAGTCTTACGCGCCGGCTAGCCTTTACCCCCAGGAAGATTCCTGGTACTTATTTCTGTTAGAGGCTGAGTCGACCCCTAGGGCCATAGTGCGGCTGGAAGGCTTAGGTCAACTGAAAAATCCAACAACCTCATCTGGAATAGAAATCCGCGATCTTCAGGCTTTAACATAGTGCCTCAACCGACTACGCTACCGCAT